AACTTGACTGATCCAGCTCACCTCAGCAAAATTTATTTTTGATTTTTGTGATCCAAAAAGATGGTGATTTATTTTTGATTTTTGTGATCCAAAAAGATGGTGATAGTCTCCATTTGTGTGAAGAAAGTTTTTAGGTAGAAGTATAAAAAAATTAAGAAGATTTTATAGGAATGACCATATGCAGTACTTTAGTATTACACAAAACCAGCAGCCTTGAAATGCTAACTTTTGCACTTGAATCTTATTACAAATCAATGAAGGTAACACTAGTTACTGTATACAGTTAAGAAAGGGCAAGATATACCAATGTCAAAATATAGAGATGTAGTAAATTTTGAAAATACATAATTTTCAAACAAATGACCTCTTTGAAAATGTTAAATACCATGGAGGGTGTCAAGGGTTCAAGGAAGGAAGTGTCCCTTTCCTCTTTCCCCACATGAGACTGGTTTCATTTGCAAAGTGTAACTTCTCAATAAAGGGCAGCCAAAAGCTTCAGTTCCCCTACAGCAGACAATATCTTACATTGTTCTCAAAAGTTTCCAATACTGAAATAAGCTAATGTTAAGTTACCTAGTTTGTTAATCAAAACTGCTGATTATTTCTGGACAAGTCAAAAGTTATACTCCAAAGAACTTTTACTGCCTTGACTACTAAAAACTGTTACTTGAACAGGGTTCATTTTTTAGATTCACATCTACTTGTGCCACTATTTCCTCAAGCCTTATTCTTCAAGCTTAGATAATATACATCTCAGTTACAACAGTAGCAGAACAAACTGGAAACCACAGTTGATTCTTCAGAGATGTTGGCAAGTACCAGATCACCTAGCTTGACAGTCTTGGCTCCAAACAGGCTGGTTTTTAGACTGGGCTGTACTTCACAGGAAGAGAGGTAAGCTTCTGTTCTTTCCTGCTTAAGTCTTAAGAGTAATGTCAGACTGCTTTTGTAAGCAGGTGAACAAATGTAATAGTTTGATGCTCTTCATTATATCTACCCAAGCTTGTTTTCACAGAAAAAAAAAAATTATCAGCAAAGCACAAAGTTTTCACAGCAAGAAGTAGCCAGACTCCTACATTTTCTTCTAGGTAACATCTCCTCTCATTTACCATTGTCCTTTTCTGATATATAAAGTCCCTAGAGGCACCACTTCGCCTTCCTTTCAGATCTTTGCACACTCCTCCTACATCCCTGCTCATGAGTTTGTTGTACTAGCAGTAACAAGCAGAGAAAGCCTCTCAGCTCTGGGAAGGCTCAACAATAACCAGCCACTTTCATGGCTTACCATTCCTACGTCAGAGGCAACTGACATTCAAGGTTTGGAAACTCACAGAAGCAGGCTGCCATGCATACAATAAACATTACATTATGCTTAAAGATTTAGATAAGACCTGCAGTTTAATGTCAAGGCAGTTACTGATTTCTACTTTTCTGATTATCAATTCTATTTAAAGTACATTCAGGTTTAGTGTATTTTCAGCATGAGGAAGTTTAGTAGAAGTAACATTTGCAACATGGCACTGCACAAGTGAGAAATACACTGTGACCAACCAGTAAACCCCGACAATGGAAGAAGGCTCTGAGGAGATGGGAAAGTGTAATATGCCCATGAAGCTCATGGAACAATGCAGGCTGAGCGACCACAGCTCTTGCAAAGACAGCTACACAGAAAAGAAACAGCTATGTCAGTTGAGTGGGTTAACTGGTGGTATAAATGTTTCTCCGAGTTCATCAGCAGAGTGTGACAGTCTCCCCAAGTTAGCCAGACCAGCATGGGGGATGGGGGGCTGTGGCTCAGCCCAGCATAGAGCATAAAGAGCCAGACAACTAGCAGAAGCATTTCAAAACCAGCAATGGGGTTGAGCTGGCTTCAGCCCACATATGCCTTCCCAACGTTGTGATGGTGAGCATGTTATAGAGACCAGTAACGGGCAGGACACTGGTATTCTGACTGAACTGTGTATTGCAATTACTATATTTCACTGTGTAACTTATGTTTGCATTGTGTTTTCAGTATATTTTGTATCACTCTGCTAAATCAGAAATCCTGTGCAACATCAAGTGTCATCAAATAAGTAAATTTGATATTAAACACTACACCCTCCACAAGAGGAATATCTAAAAGCACCTGGTCAGAGAGTATTGGACTCTGATGCATACCAACATTCATCCTACTTAGTCATCCTGTAGCAGCTACCACTTAAGATTCAGAAATATTGCGATTTCTTGCCAAACTGAGGGAAGAATGTTTCAATATAGAATGTATTTTACAGGAAACCAGAATGGACCATACCAGCTGTCTTCATAGCATAAAGTACCTTTTTCATGTTGCTAAAAAGATGTGACGCACATCCTGCGTAACAGGGAGAAAAGTACTGGACTTCATCTCTGCCACAAACTGGGTAGTACATAGAGCGCAAACATCTGCAGTTAGCATTGCATGGTGCTGTTAAGTTATATAGTGTGCCTGTTCTGAAAGGTAAAAGTTAATAGGCTTTTAATAAAGTAATCTAAAACCAGCAGACAAGTAAATAAGTAATGCAGTATTTATAGGATAATAAAATATCAAAATATTCAATTCAGGTTATTTATACACTTCATCATTTAAAAATAAGCCCTGTTCCTAGTAGTTACAACACTAGAGGGAATTCCCATATATTCTCTACCTAGTTATTTTTGTGCTATTATTACTTCTGTAATTATTCTTCCAATTTCCATTCACAAAACAGATGACAAAATTCTGCATCCCAGCCCAATTCTTATATCATCTCCTCTCTCCCACACACTTATACACTTGAATTTGTTCAATTTTTTTTAAGAAAAAATGCAACAAGATTAATAGCAGTGTTTGGTGTTGTTTATCCTACTGATCATATTCTAAGGTTTTTCCTGTTTTGGATTCAAGTCCAGTTGCAAAACTATTGCATTTTCACTATTTTTAACGCTGTTATGCAGACACCTAGATTGTTCCAGCATCAAGACAACTGCACATGCTAAATGCAAAGTGCCATGACATACAAAAAAAATATTATCACATCCAAAAGGATCTTAAAGATTTTCTCTGGCTGTTCAGGCAATAATTAATGAAGAACAGAGTTTAATTTAACTTTTGCTTACTATAACTATGCTCAATTTAGGCATTTACTTCCAGTATATGTCATAGTATAGTTGTATTTGAAGCAGTCCCACTATGCTATTAGTATGAAAAATCGGTTTGGGATGTGGGGGGAGCTTCTTAAGATATAATTGGAGAGAACACAAATACTCTTTCATTTTCTAATAGTAGTGCATGTAGTAAGTAAAGAAGCTTCATAGGTTAAGTGTTCAGTCAGCTGAAACCAGGATACTGACACTGCCAGTAGTTTAGATATTGTACTGTAAACTGAAAGTTCCACATTCGTTAGCTAAAAGGCAGGTTTCAAGAGAATTCAAGATGGTCACAAATACTAAGAGGAAAAATGATCTAGGAATTATGCTGATTACTTACATAGAATTCACACTGCACATGGAATATTAGGGACATCATAACTACCTACATAATTGATTTGCTTGTAGTACAGTTGAACCTTACTAAGTTACATTAGTACATTCTTCATACAGAGAAGAATCAAAAATTAGTTTGCTCTAGCTTAAAGCACTACAGTGCACCATAAGCAAATTCACTAATCATAGGTTTGTTTACACTATGAGGCATGCCAAGCCTAGAAGTATTTATTAAATTCAAGGTAACATTTGTCCTGTTTACACATGAAGACAGTGTCTCTCTTCCCTGACCTACAAAGAGGGACTGAACCTTTAGTTATGCATGATCAGAAAAATATATTATAATTCCTAAGAAATACAGTTTATTGCACATAGGTTCTTGTGAAATGGAACTTCTTGTTCTAACATCACTTTTCTAAAGAAGTCTAGTAGATGAAGCTATTGAATGGTCTTTAAAAACTCTATAGGTTGGGTATTTTTTCATCACAAAACAAAACAAGGAGTCCGCAGAGACTGGTGGGAATGAACAGAACTACCGAAGTAGTCACTGCATTTCTACTTCAAGTTTTCAAGGAAATACTGGGCAAAAGAATTTGGCAAAAACAATTCTCTGAAGTGTTTACTAGATGAAGTAAACCATGTTAGTTCTGCTTATAGCCTAACTTAGTAATACAGGGTTACAATATACTTTGTTCATTAGCATATGACTCAAAAGTGATTCTGTACTCATGTGGTTGTGGTACTAAATTTACACAAGCTTTCTCCGCCCCCAGGCTATTTTTCAACAGAAAGAGAAAGCTTGCCATAAAGGATTTCTTCAAAATCTCCACAAAAATGAATCTCCATCAATTTCCTAGGCAACTCTCAGAGCACTCTTAATTTATTGTTTCAGAAGCATTTGTTCAATAGCATAAGCAGGAGTCAGACACTTGGCTATTCTTCCACAAGGCTGTTAAAGCTACCACTACTTATTTTAGTTGCTTATTCCTTCATGGAAACAGTTTCAGAACTGGCACTATATTAGTGCCACTAACTATTTTGATGCAGGTCACATGTCCAACAAACTATAGTCCAACATGTAACAGTGAATTAAATAAAACTGAAACATTTTTTATAACGGATATTGAGTGGAGAGAATTATTCCAGGATTGGCCAACTCCAAATTGCTGTAGATAAGAGGTCTTCAAAGGTTAAACTACATAACTGCCAAAGTTACACAAAACTATTAAATACAAGTTAACTGCATTTAACCCAGGATTAAAATCAACTCAGCTGTACCTTTGGCCAGATGCTCATTATCATAGGACTTGATATAGAAATATTGATAGCTTCACACTATTTTCTATACAACCCCCTCGGTACTCAACTGCTACATACAGATTCTTTTGCTCAGTACGTAACTATAAGCTTTCAACAATCAAAGACTGCATCCTAGTTTTTACAGTTCCAAAGCGCCCACAGTAATGTTACAGCTAGCATTTTTTCAGACACTGAAGCACTGCCATGCTTTAAGTATCAAATGTCAAAACCTGGCCTTTGAATATACTGTCAATTGATACAGCAAGTTTTAAAGGTGGAATCAGAATGACTGCTATCTTGGGCTATAAGGATTTTTTTTCCCCCCCAGTCACCAGTGTATGAAACTTGGTTTATTCATTTTGTATGCTATCTGGAAAAGGAAATATAAATGGATGTTTAAGGTATCATCACATTAAATTTCTAGTCTTAGAGAACTGGAAGCCTGAATGCCTTCAACCACTATTGCCTCCAAACCCTCTGAATTTCTGTCCTGTTAACCTAAGGTTATTTATTTTATAGTTTTCACATTTACCTAAATGAGAGGCCTGAAAAATATCTTGTTAGTCTTTCATGTCACTCTGCATTTTGGGGAAAATTCTGTAACATTTGTCAGTTATGTTTATGTTAATGATTCCCTTAAAGCACCTAGGAAAAACAGTAGCCTTCATATTCCATCACATTTCTGCACTTAGTTGCCTCCATGAGCAAGTGTGATTTTCCTGCATTCTTCTATTTGTTATGTGTTCATTTGAGGTCAAAAAGCATGATAAATATCAAGTGAAGAAACCATATAAGCCTAACTGTTGATTGACATTTACTGTTTTTTCCTAGAAGTATTACCAACTTGCATGTGCATTAGACACTACAAAACCAATCTCCCCCAAAAATCATCTTCTGTATTTTCACAGTGCACTTCATGCTCCTGTGTCAGTAAAGTGCAAAGATCTTCTTCCCCACCCTGTTCAGATTCGAATGCCTTTTTCTTCATTGGAGCATAACTTACAGATTCTGCTTTTGTACAAGGTACATATCCCTTTTCTAAAGTGAGAGATTTGCAGAAAACAAAAAGTATTGATTCACCCAGTTGCACAGCATGCTGCTCATGCTTGTGATTTTTTCAAATGGCAGCTAGTAGTCCCTAGCTACCAGCCTAGAGTTATTTTGCACAACAGCACCTGGCTCCTTGGCAGACCCTCAGACAGATTTGCCTCTGGCTCTATCAATTCATGACAGAGTAACCAGCCACTGGAGAGCACAGTTTTGGCACAGCTATCTGCCTTCCTCCTACTTTTAAACCCTGCTCATGCTACAGAAATGTATACCATCTAAAACTATGAGAACTGAAACATTATAATCCTATAGACAATTCCATAATAAGGCACGACTGGGCATTTTATACAACATAGTGCCTATGCTGGTGATTTGATCACACACATTCAATGCTGAAGTTTTAAAAGTAGACCTAGAAATCAATTCTCTAAAGAATGCTTATCCTTGCAGATACTTATTTTTAATCTTCCTTCATTTTTACTATCACTTTTCTGAGGTTTTTTCCCCACTGACATACTGGTTTGCAGAGCAAGCTTTGTTCACAGCAACAGGAAGAACATTCATCCTAGAATTTTTACTACAATTACTACAAATATCTAGAAGTGAGTGATAGTCTGGATTCTCATTAGGAATGAGAATTGTGTTGTTTAGGGGAAAGAAAAGTGCGTATTGTTTAGATAAGTCTTTCCTATACATGTTAACTGAAACATGATTCAAAATATTTTTGGCTAACATGTCACTCCACATGGTTACTTCAGTTAAACATGTTACACCATGCATTTTATTCTTCAACTTCCGTCACTGAGCTATGCTCTCTTTGCATTAACTTCTACCTTTACCACATATTTTACCAGGAAAAAAGAAAGCTTCGTTTGTAAAAGGAGGCTACATGTGCTAGAGCCTGATGCTACAATAATGTGTTTGTTTTTCTACAGAAAAATTTGTAAATCCATTTAAGTTGTAGTGCACTTCAGTGCTCTCTCATAAAATTGTTGCACATGGCAGACTCCTTCCAGGAACAAAATGCCCAGACTGTCAAGAGTTGGTTAATAGAACAAGATACAAGAGATATGCTGCTTCTACAGACACACAAAATTAGCTGTAAGCAATGCCATGGCTACTACACCTAGAATGGTTAAAGAAGTTGGGATTTTTTTTGTTGAGCAGGTCCAGTCTGCTTAGAACATTTTGCAGTATTTTCTTTATCGTCCATTACATAAATATTCCAAGAACAAGGTTTTGGAGTTCATAAACACTTCTGTTTCATACATCAAGGCAAAATATGACATTTTTAAAGGTGTTGTATTCTGTGTTGTAGCTTATTTATCTTAAACATAACGCCAAACCCAAGAGTGCATTAAAATATATTTACCCATTATATGTTTCAGAGACACCTGCGAAAGGTTCATTCCCACATTTAGCAAATAAAAACACTGTGTTTAATAGTAGGGCCACTGAACAAGTGCCTATAATGAACTTGATTATGCTTTTGCAATCCATTTTGCACTTGGAAACCAAGATGCCACTTATGATTTGGCCTAGTGCTGCTGCTGGAATTAATACAAGCCCTAGAGGAAAACAAGACACCAGCAATTACACAAAAATGCAAGATATAATTAGTGAAGCAATTCAGAGTGCAATTGTATGTTAAGAAATAAAATCACAACAGTTACCTGTATCTTAAGATGCAGTCCATGTGATGTCGTTTTCAAACCATCCTACTAGACTCTTGTCAGCATGAATAATTTATTCTACCCTTACATTATCTTTAGGCTTTCCAGAAGTTCAACTTGACAGTGTAATTTATAGTTGTCCAAAACCCAAGTTCAACACAACAAAATGAGATTACTTAAGAGTACTATATACTGGGCAGGAATCTCTGAACACCAGTAGGCTGCTTCATGAAAACAGAAAATGCCCTTTCATTGCTTCAGTGTTGGGGTTGGGTTTTTTTCACATGTCCATGTTCTTAGTGTTCTTAACACATTTGTGTTATGAACTTTTTCATAAGAGAACATAGTTACTATTGCACAAGATACAGTATGACATCTACAGAAAGAGTAAAAAAGTTCAGATCAGTGGGTCAGTTTTGCTGTCATAGTCCGTAATGATTTAACCTCTTTGCACTGCTAGGACTCCAGATACTTAACTGCATATTCCTACACAGCTAATCTACTATACAACACAGAACTCCAACTTGCACTGACCTGAGAGAGCTAATTTTAAAGACAGTTCAGGTACAGTTGCAGAACTGCACAGGCTGCAGACACCCATAGTCAAAGGTAGTTTAAATAGTTAACATGGTCACTGGTAACACTTAGACTAGCTAGCTCAACATTAGTTCAAGTACAGCTAGCTTTCATCGTTAGTGTAGGCATTTCTTTAAAGCTGTACATTTGATTAACACTACCAATATTTTTAACTCAGATTAAAAAGAAGTTCAGTTAAGGTCTATAGAGAAAAAGGAACATTCAGTTTTCCACTTCATTGCTTATTACTGTTTAACAATTGAGCACGTATTCGGATGTATTTCTGTGTAAAACTTGCAGATACTTTGTTTTAAAGCAATCATGTCTGAATAATGACAGTACTACCTAGTGTTATCCAGGGGAGTAAGTAATTCAGAAAGTCTCTCTCAAACATATTTCTGTTGGAGAAAGAGTACTTCAGCTAGCATACGCTTATACTGCAGCACTATACAGCTGAAGTAATTTAGCAAGACATGTTCCAGAAATACTAAGTTTGCCATATTGCAAGCATCTGTTGGTCTATCTGCCATGATCTGGTTGCTGTTCTTCAGAAGTAATTGTGTCAGTTAGTTGTGTGACCATATCTAGCACAGCTCTTCCATCAGATTTTTCTATTTGTTTCTCCAACACTTGGCTTTTCATAGCCTTCCCCTGCTCTACCTATTACTTCTGCATATCAGATAATAGGAATAAGTCACAGTAAGCCAACTATAGAAGCAGTTACACAATACTTTTATAATATATCCTGATCAGTCATAAGCTATCTCACTGTAACATTATGGTGGAATTGAAGGGAAAGGCCAAGTCAATCCTTAACTTGCAGTAAGCACAGCTTTCTTTCCAGCTGCCCTTCATCTTGCTTCCTAACAGAAGGCTTAATGCTCCTTCAGATGATTTTAAATGAGGAAAATTAAATGTTTTTCACCAAGAATAAGAAAGGAGTAAGTTAGTTTCAGCAACACACAAAATTCTCATTCTACTTTGCATATGAGTATCAAGTGTCCTGAACTTACAGACAATGAGTAGCTTTGCACCGATGATGAATTAAATGTCAGGGTTTTCACAGTGCAGGCAAGAATAATATAAAAATACTGTTTCTGCTGTGAAAACTGCATTTCATAAGTTTACTCACAAATACCTCAGAGAAACACAAGATGCCTATACAACCTTCTACTTAAAATGCTAATGAGGTGTTCAGCACAATATTTTTAAGATTTAAAATTGAAAACCCACATTACCTCCAAGAGTTGCTGAAAAACTCGATGTCTTTCCAAACTGATTTTCTATAAGCTTTGGTAGAAATGTGGCAAAGCCAGTGGCAACTAAAGCTTCTGAAGAACTGGCTATTATTAGACTCATAAGCACTGGATTCTTCAACAGTATCTATGGGAGGAAATTAGCATAATACTCAGGAAGTTATTTCATTGTAGTACCATGTAAACTAGGAGTCACTATATTTTAAAGTAGATACTGTCATGCAGAACTTCACTAATATGCTTTTCTTGCTTTAACAATCTTAAGCATCAACAAAATGAATGTGCGTTATCAGTAGCACTGTAGACTTCCCTATCACAACACAATAAAGCAGCAATTACCTTTCTAAACACTTACGAATTACCTGAGAGAGAATTTAATTTCTCAGGATACATCAGTTTTAGTAAATTCAAGATTTCCTTACCAGGAGAGCCACAGGAAAGTCTTTAAAATTTTTTCCAATATTCTTGGTCTCAACAAGCACTTCACTTCCATCATTGTGAGTTTCAGAGATTTTTTCAGCCTGTATTTTTGCTGTTCCTATAAATGGACATATTTACTGACAATTAAGACACTAAATATGTGTGCTCTTGGACTTAGTCAGAAAAAGCATCAAAGTAAGTGTTTCCTTTCCTAGCTCAGACACTCTAAGTCTTCAATATTTTATTGGTACAGATCTATAAAAAGATCAAGAATATTGCTGCAGAAAAAAGAATTTGGCTGAAAGTATCATGCGTCCATTGGAAGTCCTTGACTCTAAGAAGATATTGGCATGGATAGCCTAAGAATTTCTGACCATCCTGAAGCTCATTCAATTTTTTTTTTTTTTAAGTTGTCCTCACATTCTTCCTAGTTCCCCACTTCATTTTTTCTTCCATCATTTCTCTTTCCAGATAAGTATAGTTAAAGTTCCTTTAGATGCTCTTCCAAGATAGTATTTGCCTGAACAGGGATACTGTGATTCACGCTTTCTTATTCCATCCAAACCAATAAGCCAATAGAGTCAAGAACAATGCATGAGTTAAGCCAATGCAATGGTATTTCCTTATTATTCTTGGTGGGTAACAGCAGCTTTAAATACAGTCCTGGATGCCTAGCTGCAAGCATCTTCCAAACTGACAATCAGTTTCTGTGCTCAACCTGTTTCCAGTCATACTGTACATCATTACATACACAAGATCCTCCCTCTAGCCTATTTGCCTTGTTTTAAAGGCTGCACATTGGAAACAAGGTATTATCATCAGGTTTTAGACAAAGACAGTTAACTGAGAAACAGAATCAAAGTGGAATCAGTCACACAGTCCAGCAGTCTATAACCCACAAGCATAAACAAACTTCTCTTCCAAAGCACCCCACTACTGTAAAACATTTACCTGGTAGGTGTTTCGGAAAGCATGAAAAAGGTATTATAAGAAGCCAAATTGCAAAAAAGCATGCAAGAAATGCTATCCACCATGCTCCAAGCCAACGTGGGTCATCTTGATCCAACTTTGTACTGGAAAAATAGTTTGGAAAAAGCGGGTTTTCATTCATGAATTCAAATCAGTGATTTCAAGTGTCAGTGAGCTGGATTTTTTTTAATACTGATTTAACGGAAAACCTTTGAATATTGTAATTTTCTTGTTTTCTACATGTATTAAATTTATCATTTGCTTGTTTAAAGCACATTCATCAGCTCTATTATAATAACACTCCATTCTATCAAACATAGCTTTCAACTCATTAGTCAAATTCATTCTGACTTAAAGGCCACTATTTGGCCCTGATTTCAAGATTCTGTAGCATTATTAAAATACTAGAAAAGCTGGGTTTAGAAAGAATCTTCATAACCAATGAGTTATGCGAAAGCCAGTAAAGAAGTTCAGAATGCCATTGCATTGATCCAAAGTCCCTAAAACACAGGAAATAAAAGTGTAAATGAAGTTATTGGTTGGTACACTCTTCCCTAGAATGTAAGTAGCAGTATCCTACCCCTCATATCCCACCTCAGGGCAACTTTTTGCCCAAGAAATCAATAATTGCAATCTAACCTTAAATGAGCAACTAATCAAAAGACAAAGCATTTTTTGTTAATCAGCTTTAAAATAGCCAATATCTCAAAAAGCTACAACTAAGTATTTGCGCTACAGAGAAACTTTTACAGACAATGGACTACTCACTGTGGGAAGTAACTCACTTGCTAGAAGCCCTTGTGAATGCAACTTGTTACCAAGTTGAAGAAGCTCTTGAAAATGCAGTATTTTCCAAGGAAAGATACTCCCCACAATTTCTCCTCCTCGCATGGAGAAAAGCTGAATATTTTAATACGAATTACCAGGAAAAGAAAATAGAAAGCAAAAGACTAAGTTATATCTTGCCTTTCTGGGATCTGGATATCAATGTAAATATTAAGTAGCTGCCCTCCTAAGACATAGCCAATAGCAGGACCCAGCAGTGACATGGCGTAGCCAATTCCTAGAAGAAAAAAATACATCAAGTTCACCATACATTTTTAAAGCTTTCTTTTAAAAAAATTCCTAAATCAACTTCACTAAATGGTTTCTGTAATTCAACCTGTTCTTTCACTGTCATTACTTTATAACATGTAGAAGACAAAATTTATACTTGTGCATCAACAAGAAAAGCTGCAACTCAGAGGTTCAGCAAAAGACACTGACAGCATCTTTATGCATTATTAGATTGCCTTTTGCATTATCTTGTGCCTACAGTCACAAGCTAGCTTGTGAAAAACTTTCTGAAGAGGGGTTATGAGCAAAAGCTGTTAATACTATATGCCCACATTCTTTAAGAACCTATATATATATATATCATTTGTATATTGAGTCTTACATTGTTTTTTAGATCTGCCAAGGCCAGAAGCCAGGGTTCCATTAAAACCTTTGACTGGAGTAATATCTGCCACTTGATTTCATTGAGAACTCAATCATATGCACTTCCATTTATTGATATAAGCTTAAAAATACAAACTCAGGGCTCCTGACAGTTCTAAAAAAAAAAAAAAAAAAAACAAACCGAAAAAACACCAAAAAAGCCAATACACCCCACAAAGCTGCAGGTATAACTATATCCTACTAAAGAGCACTCTTAGTTCTACCCATTTTTTTTGGCCTTAGGACAAGATTTTTTCCATGTCACAGTAGTCTCCCTGGCCTACCAGCCAGGTTTCTGTGGCACTTCAGCACTGCTGGCATGAGCACTGCTTCTGCAAATAAAGCCTTGTACATAGATCTGTCTAAATAATTGGTAAGGCATGCATCCTTACTGCTTATATTCTATGGTTTTCCCCAGGTTGAAGAATCTGGATTTCTCATTTGTTTCCAACATGCCTGGATCCTGAGTTTCTAGTATGATTTCACTCTCTCTAGACAGCAAGAAGGAGTAACTGGGGGGGGGCGGGAGCAGCAGCAAGCAGTGCAAGAGAGGGAAGGGATACAGAAGGGGACACTCTGTAAGTCAAAATAGAGTTGACATATCCCAGGTTTCCCTGTAATTTGGAAACAATGACATATTAGGTCCACATTCATCCTACAGAACTTAAAACTTAGCTTAGAAGGTGCTATTTCCTCCTACAGACAATTTAGTTTAAATTACCATGTGGAATTGCTTAACTTTCCATTGGCTTTAGATGTAGATGCCTCAGTTCAGCAAGAGAGCAGTCCTCCTGAAAACACACCCAGTTTTAGAAGAGAAAGAAACTACCAGCTTGTGAGTTGCAAGCTTATAGTCTAAGATGCCAGCAGCTATTTACAGACACTAGCAGAAAGTTTTAGGGGGTTTTTTTGCTGCCTTGCACAAGCCTTCTTGCATTAGGCAAAGCAACACAATATAAATGCAAGGTAAAGAACTGAGGCTCAGCAGTTGTCTGAGGATTGCACAAGCATTAATTTACTGTATTGGTCTGTTCTAAGTATGAATGCTGACACCATTCTCCTGAGTTTTCAGGGCACTTCTTGATCCCCTAATCATGCAAACCGACATAATTCTGCTCTACTTACTTCACTAGCCCCCCCCCAAAAAGTGTAATAATCTTCTCTCAGTATAAGGAAACAGCAAAAATAAAACCTGTCTTTGTTACTTAAGATTTAATGTATGCAACTATCCTATTTGTTGGCATCAAATGAAGCAGCTTGCCTGGAAAAATTAAGTAAGAATTACATGCAAATAGATGATGATTTCAAATTTGCCCCCTAAAATATCAATTTAGTCTGGAAACCAGTCCAGAAATCCAAGATGCTTTGAACTCCTCCTGCAGGTTACCAGTATATATTAACATACTTTTATTGGCTTACACCTAAAAAGGAGAAAGTAGCAAATACCTTCATACCCATAAAAAAACACACTTAAACGGCAGTGAACTTGCCATTGAAAATGCACATAACCCAGAGAATTCTGACTGGAAAGATTAAAAACCACTGTTAAGAATTAGTGTTCCTCAGCTTTCAGACAGCCCCACAGTAAGACAAACACATTCTCTGTGTTTCTAGGCAATCCCTCTACTTTCAACTAAGGAAAGATACTTTCGTATTTCCTCCTGAAGTGCCAAATTTGTATGTGGCTGGAGAACTGCATTGATCACGTGATGTACAGGAGTGTCCCCATGCTGAGGGGACAGCCTACTGTCAGAAGGTATATAAATAAAACTGTTGAAGAATACCATGAGGTACAGCTACTGACCTGATATACAGTAGTCTTCAAAACCTGTGACAGTAAAAAGTAAACTTTTGCTACAATTTATTCTGTTGTTAACATGCAGGCTACATGAACAACTTAATCACTTTGAGTTGCTTACATGAAAAGCCAGCAGGAGAGATGCACGAAGTAGCCTTAACATGCTCTGCAAAATAACCATCAAAAAGACTTGACACTTAGAGCAGACTAATACCTAACTTGAACAGTAACTGATATAGAAACACTTTATGCACATAAGTAAATAACTCCAAGATTGATTTAATTAGAGGAATTCATAAAAGCATTTGTAAAGCACTGCAGTCTATGATCAATCTAGACAAAGTGTTATAAACAGTTTTTAAAGTTACCTATGTAAAGGGAAGACTTGTGCTTTGGGACACTATCATCAATAAAAGCTGTCCCCAAAGTATATAGTGGAGTTCCTCCAACTCCCAGAAGCAGCTGTGCCAGGATAAAGACATACAGATAGCTGGGAAGTGAAGACTTTGTACTGGCATTGCAAGTGAAGTTAGCAGAGCTTGTTCCTGGAATTTGACATGTGTCTGAAAGACAGAAACAGCAAGACTTTAAAACTCTGTTACCCAACTCATCACAGCCCAACTGAAGAAAAATCTGTACTGAAAGCTAAACTACATAAAGTGCTGTTAGTGCCAGGCTCCCATTTTAGTTTTCAGGCCTACTAATATATCCTATATGACAGTGCCTTAACCTTCCATGATGTCATATGCCCCGAAAGAAATACTATCATGGCTTATTTTTTGCTTCCTACCACAAAGGAAAGATGGATCAAATAGCCTTATTAAAACATTTTGGCTCGTTGAAAGCATTATTGACCAGATGTATAAAAGAAAGCTGTCAAACGGTCATTCAACAGGTTAGAGAATACTCCTATGTAACAGACACTTCATTGTGTTCTTCTGCCTTATAGATAGTGAGCAGCACTAACAACTTCCATTCTGAAGTGACAGAGCAGTCTGAACAACCTGAGAAAAGCTGAACTGCTGGAGAGGAGAGGGCAGTCATCACGAGTCACAAGCAAGGAGAATCCGCCCTCTCATGCACTGTTGTGAGAAGTGTTTCCCTAAAAAAAAACCTTAAAAAACCACACCACTATCTCATGAAGCACACACTCCCATATCTCCAACATGAGAAGTTAATGTAAAGCCTCTGTAATTGTCCACACACACAAAAAGAGGGAAGCAGAGATAGAACAGCCTAAGGTTGCACCTTCTCCTGTAATGTTCAGCACTACAAGGAGGGAAAAGAGGAAGTGAAGACAGAGTATGTTTTCTCTTCTCTTTGCTATCATTGCACTTTTAGTAGCAGACAGTCCCAAGACACAAGATCGAAAACAGTTCCAGGTTTTTCCACAGGAGAGTGTACAAGCCTAAGGAAAAGTTTAAACCCATAAGTTTGGTGGAAACAAGCCATACTGAGCAAATATATGAAAACAACCTTCAGATCAGATGAGTAGACTGATTAATTCTCAATACTGTGCTACAAAATTATGACATCATTTTCCTCAGGTCCTTTTACACTTGAGCATACTTTTTACTTACGCGAACAAAGGGCAAGCTTGTACACACTTTGGGCTCACAGGACACAAAACACAGGAAGTGCTTGCCACACAGCAGGTATTTAAAGAGATATTTGTAACACCAGTCTACACTGCTGTTATCATAAATGCATCCAGGGCTTTTATCACGCTTTTCTCCAGAACAGCACCATAGTGGTGATGGAGTCAAGTAGCCACACAACAGGTGATTCAGTGCTGTTGCACAGAAACAGGCCAATGGAGAGTGATGGGAAAACTTCACTTCAAGAGGTGTCATTAAAATTTTCCTTCCTTTCCACTTAGGAACAATCCTCATTTTAAGGCTATACTGAAGCCCCACAGTGAACTTTTTATTATGAATCACTACTCTGAAAATTAAAGTTTCTAGAGTATATTTTCCACTTATTCTCAATCTGCTTTCTTTAGCAATATTCTTCTTTTCTGCAGGAAATTAAGCCTTAAATCAGATTAACTTTGTACTGTTTACCCCTACAGCATCTAAAACTGACTACAGAAGGACACCATGTCCTACAACATCTTGTTAATGTACCACACATATATAGAATATATAGGATAAATGCAGTTGTAAGTTAGGCTCTAATAGCTATCTAAACCAGCACTTAGCTAGTTATTGTAATACTCAGATAGCAGTATCTTGTTAAAATATACACATCAGAAAACAAGTAATGCAAAGCAAGAAAATGCCATCAACGATGTTAAATTACTAAAATGAAGCTTAATTTGAGATCTAGAAATAGCTTCATGAAATAAGCACATACATATGGCAGTGGCATTCAAACTCAGACTGTGGTTCTTCATGAATACCCATGCCCACCCTAAAAGCCTGTGCCATTGTGTGACTAAATGATTATAGCCTCTGTCGTTCAGTTTTCTTGCTCTTCAATTTATACATCCTAGGAAATTTATCCTGTCATTGAGATGAGAAGCTTATCACACTAGTTTGTTTTCAGAACCATGTAATCAGGTCTAACTACAAAACTAAGAGAACCATAAGTATGCACTTTAATACAATTATAATCCTTTTATTTGCACCAGGTATCAGACTTTTTTTTTCAAAATCAGCAAGTGCACTTTCTGAGTGGAGTTATGGACCATATTTCATGCTTCCAGTAAACATTTTAACAGCAAAGATGATTTACCACAAAACTATGAGTTTAGTTTAAACCAGCATAAATCAAAACTGCCATCAAACTACAGTTTACTCTCTCTACTTCAGCCATACATGCCATCCCCTTCTTGTACCTGTGCAAGATTTAAAGAGATTGGTAAAGTGACACAGATTAAATCTAATCTGATTTAGACCTACAAGCCTGTTTGCTGCTGTCATAAGAATGATGGATAGAGAAGGCACTGGCTTTTACATGATCTAGAAAGTCTAATGGAGATAAGCCAAGTCCTGGGAGAAGTTTAAGATGGGTGGCTGACCATTTTTAACTACCTTTCCTCATAAAACTCATTTCCCCTTCTTAAAGTCAGTGCACTAGACTTGCATTTTAATGAGGAGAAATGCATTAAAGGCAACACCATCCAACAGGGTTAATCATTTTAAGCTTTCCTGCATGCTTTAATCTAACACATCTACCTGAATCCAAGTTATGTAAAGGCCAAAATATCTAACGCAACATACAAGCCAAGAAGGCGGAACCAACTGTGAGATGCTTTAGCAATTACATTAATTAGCTGGAAGACAGGCCAAGACTAGTTTTACCCATGTCTTAAACTACAGACAGTAGGTGTGGAGGTTTTTTTGTCTTTTGGGTAGTGGGAAATAATTTAAAAAGTTGTAAGAAATAAAGAACAGCTTAGTTTCTATTCTTTTTGAAACTTAAAAATCTGTCTCTCCTTTAAGTCTCAAATGGGAAAGTCACCATCAATAAACATGCTGAATGAAGACTAAGTTCTTAGTTTCTAAAGGCAGATGTTACAGTATTACAGAACATCTAAGTGGTATAAAGAAATAGACCAAGCAGTGTAAAGAACAGCTACCCATTATTCAACTAAACAGATAGTCTCTTCAGAGCGGAAAACCAACAGAAAAACCACAGACCTACTGATGTTGCAAGACAAAACAGTCAAATCGCACATCACACATTCTGTCACCATTAGGATCCAAATGCCACAGTCTTCAATCTTTAACTGTCCTTGGTATGTTCTGGGAAAGATCAATTAATGCCTTTCTGAGAAGATTCACTAACTCGCAGACCCTAAATGACTTCACCACCTGAGTTTCCAGTAGAACAGAGAATTGAAGAAAGGTGTTCAAGTCATTCTCCCTATTCTCAAGTCACACCACACACACTTCAACTCAAACAGCTAAGAATCATTCGTAACAAAGATATTTCTTTTCTCCAAAGATGTCACTCCTGTTACTGAAGAGACTCATGGAATTGAGTAGATTGGTAGAGGCATCAGGGAGTCATGTTGTCCAAGCCCCTAATCCAAACAGTGTCAAAAACAGTTTACTCAGCAGGGTATTGAAAACCCCCAGCGATACAGACTGCACAGTCTTTCTGGGTAATCAGTTCCAATGTTTGACAGTGCTCACAACAAAGTTGGCTTCCTTCTGTCAAGTGAAGATCTACAGCTCACATTTGCTGCAACAGACATCTTTTACAAATTTAAACGTTTCAATAAGATTTGAGGCAAAAGTTAAAAAGTATATCTGCAGTTTTTACAGTCCTCTGTACCGTCTACAGGTAATCGAATACAGAATGTTTTCATTACAGACAAACCACTAGATGGAGCTCCTGACTACAAATAGAGCCAGCTGCAACTCAACACCCTATGTAACCTAAAAAAGTTAACAGAAGAAATAGCTGGTTACATCTAGGTTAAAAATTTGAGTCTGAAGCCTTTCTGGAGATTAGACAAGACATGTTTACTGTGGCTAAAGATTTCTGTAAATAGGTTATTGGTTAGCTGCTCTTTCAATATGAAATTGATTAAACTATTTTGAAAGTGTTATTATGATAAATATTTCCAATGGAATAGTTTTGTAGAGTAGGATATACTCATAATAAAAGTAAGTTAATTTCTCAAGGTAAAGCAGTAAGTTCCAGGAAGTTTGTAAGCCTTATACTGGAGGCTAGATGTATTTTATATTCCAGACTAGATCTATGAATTAACCTGGCAGCCATATTAAATATTACACTGAACTATACTCTGAAGATGTCCCACAGGTGAAACTCACTGTACTTACATATAACAGATGAACATAAATAATCAAGCAACCAACTAGGAACTGTTCAAAAATAAATTAGGTGGTAGATTTTAATACAAAGCATTAAGTAAAATAGTTTACTCCCAATACACTAAAGTCTCTATAAGCTACTCACCCAAACAAATAAGCAACAAGGAAGGTTTTCTGGGGTGTGGTGCTATTAAATTCTGCAACTAAATGTATAGTTAAGATGCTTCATCAACATCAGAACTAGCTAATCCAGACATCCTATAAACTCATGTACTGCGCTTAACTGCTAAAGGATGCTGTTGCACAGCACCTGCAGATTTACACTGAGTCTGTCACGGTGCAGGCATTCCCTGCACTCTGTAGTCATTTGATAGTGTTTTGTTTAAGTCAGCTTAAGTCCTTAAATCTGCTCAGCACAGTCACAGCATAGGTACCTGCATTACAGCAGTCAAAACAGCATGAATTCAGTCAGCTTCCAGTATTAAGAAAGAATACATTCCATTTAAAGTTTTCCCAACAGCTTTTAGATTTCAAAAGTCCATGTAGAACATGAGCCCTGATAAGGTCTCAATACCTACAGCATCTTTAACAGTGGATGAACTGGCAGATGTTTGATGAAACAGGAACAGATTCTTTAAGTTTTCAACCAAAATTGGTAGGAGGGGGAAGAGATCAGTTGCAATAGTTGGCCATCTCCCTTCACACTCCCACCCTGTCAGTATCTTACTTCAATAAAAAGCTTCCAACCTGATTGTAGTTTTTCTTTGCATTAAATTCAGCTTCCTTTCCATACTAGTGAAATGGGGAAGGTAATACTCAGACTGAGACTGTAGAGAAATGGCACTGTAAGAGCCAGGAGCAAGGAAGCTGTTGCCACTCTACTAAGGAGTGACAACTAATCATCTGCTCACAGTCTCCAAACACTGAAGAGGTTTTTTGGCCTTGTTCAATTAAAAGTTCAACAAACTTCTGCCTCAGATCCTCATTTATTAGATGGGGAGCAACAGCTTACCAAAGTTAGTTAACTAATAGTTGATGTCTGGACAGCTCATAGAAGCATGTGACATCATTAACACTTAAAAACTAATTTGAGAATCCACAACCACAAGACTGAGAACCTTCCATCAGATTTCTTAATAGCTACTGATTTTTTTTAGTGAACACTCCAATATGTTTAGTCATTAAAGGCATAAATCTGATTAAACACTGCAATAACAATTAAGACAGTCCTGAAAGATTAAGTCATCCTACTTTAAAGATATCTGGATGTTTCTTTATTAGTTACAGGTGTGCCACAAGGTTGAGATGCAAATAGTTGGCATTAAGCACACTGCGCATTTAAAGCTTTGTTTCATGAGAAAAAGATATGCAAGATCTGAGAGCTGGCTACTCCCACAATTTCAGTACTGCTTTGTTCAGTATAGTTCAGTACTGCTCATTCCCTCCATTTCAGAAGAAACCCACAAGTTTTAATCAACATTTTAGAACTTAGTGAAACTTGTTAATGAATTACTTGAGATGCCTTTTACAGTTCAAAGCCCAAAAGAACTGCAACATGTAGTAACCTTTCAACAAGACTGTAAGTCTAACAGTTTTCCTTTAACATTTATTCTCTATCACTGACCTAACTTGCATTCCTATTCACAAAGAAATACCAGACCACTTTTTACTCAGTGAATTTTAATTGCATTCATCAATGCAAGTCAAAAAGAATTTTATTCAAAAGTTGCTTATGAGGAAGGGCCAATATTGACACCCAGATCTCTTCTGAAAAAGAAAGTTCACTGTGCAGAGACAACTCTTAGAATTTAGGATTTCACAGAACCATTTTATTTTCAGTGTTAGAGATTACATTCTATCTTTAGGACTTTGACAGAGATTAACTATGTTGTACCAAATTAAAAGTTACACCAAGTTGCTACAGAGATTTTTTTTGAATAATTTTCAAAACATAAGGATAAGCTTACCTTCAAGTTTAGCTCCATAGTGGTATTTTCCGCTGCTGAAGTGCGGTAAGGAAAATGTAAGTGAGCCCAATCCTAGCATAAACGCTGAGAAAGCAAGCCATCGTGGTTTGTGCCCTCTTTCTCCAAAGAAAGACACAAACAGTGACAATATACAAAAAGCAATGTCATAGCTTGCAGAGATTAAGCCAGTGAGGGAACTGTTCAACTCGTAACGCTTCTCAATTGTTGAAATACTGATGTTAATCAGGCCATTTACCACAATACCTACCAAAAAAAAGGAAATAATTAGTCAAAGATACTTTAATTTGGTAGAGTTGCAAGGGTAAACTTACCATTGTGTGATGGAAGGGTTAAAATTAATGTATTTACAAAGCTACATTTTAAGGTATTTATTAGTTTTAAAATCCAGGTATACAGCAGATCGATACACGGCCAACTTAAGCCAGACAAACTGCACAGGACCTATTCAGTTCTGTTCTCTCCTGTGGGCACTGAAGATTCAGCACTCAACCATTAAGCCAGCTAAATAGCATGCCTCAAACTGTTCATGAATTAAGGTTCCAGAGTCAGTCTGAAGCACAGACTGATTTCCAATAGAATGCATTACAGTGTCATAAGACACTCTACTTACTAAAAGGAAATTAGTCAAGGTTATGACTTGCATTAGAACGCAAGCTATGACTGAAGGAAGTTCAGGACATAGCTTTCAAATCATCATTGTCAACAAAAATAATTTCCTCCCTGCCATCATGAAGGGAAGATACAAGAAGGCTTTTGAACAGACATCCTGCCCCTCTAATATAAAAAAAAAAGGTGTAAAACTACTTAAAAATACTTTGCAGCTGTTTCAGAGCAACTGAGGTGATTAACTGAGAAAAAAGTTTGCCTTCTGATTCTTGAAGTTTCCTGAAGCAGAAGTATCAGACAACCTGGAGAAGAGGCCCTGCATGAGCTGCCCTACTCACAGCTGAACTCCAAAAAACTGATCCAAAAGCAGAAGCAAGCAAGTAGCCATTGCCAGTGCATGCTTATACACACTGTCCAAAGAGAGTTGTTTGCAGATACTAACTTGAACCTCCCATCCTGCCTCACATTCTGTTTGTATGTGAAACACCAAATAGTTAAAACTTAGAGGAGTTTACTTTTAACAGTCCCAAAATAGGGTTCTCTTACAAGCAAGATGAAAAAAGTTAGAAGTCTTGGATTCACAGTTGCATCTGTAAACTCATGGGTGACCAATGAGCATCTCTTATGACACAGGCCCTACAGTTACCCTTCCTCTTTCTAAAACCCAAACACTATTCTCTACTGTCATTCCCAGAACAGAACGGAAGGACAGACAGCTGGGGACAGCAATGGATTTAAGTTAGTTTTCAGCAAGCATTGCATCACCCAGAAGTGCAACTACACAGGCTGAATTTCAACAGGTCTGCCTAAAGTGCTCTACACATTAGGAAAAAAAAAATTTACTCCAAGTATGTGATCAACCAGGTGTTTTCTTATCAGTGCAATCCCCACAACAACTAAGCACTTCAGCTTTCTATAAGGAGGCAGCTCCTGGCACAATCTTCAAGTTTTCTAATACCCTACTATGGCCTCTGTCACCTGTCAGTCTGGCCACCACACTTAAATTCATATGGGATTAACAGAAGGATTCAGGTGTTATTCCACTGCCATTACTTATACATTTGGCAGCTTGCTTCTTTTCTTCTTAAGCAGCATTGACCAAAGAACAAAACTAGCATGAAGGAATGAACAAACAAGTGTTTCCCATTCGCCAGCACTTCAAACATTTACTAAGCCCTTAAAACATTCACACAAAGTAGGTGTGCTATGTGGCAAGTTGATTACAGAACTCAAATACATTGACTTTTGCCTGTAGCTTAAGTTGCCACCTTTAATTTACATCGTAAAAGCCATAAAACCTTGCAGTTAATTTTATTGTATAATTAGACTTCTGTAAAAATGCAGATGTGATGAACGGCAGCATAACTTCTCCAATGCCATCATCTAGGGATTAACCACGCAAGGCTCTTCAGGAAGGATGGAACCTGGCTGATACTAACTTGATCTGAAAAAGAAATCCTACGAGGACATCTCAACACTTAAATACTAGTATAGAAATTGGTTTTTTAACTGTTCTCATCCAAAACATTTGTTACAAGTTTAGGTACAGTGTGTACTGACCCACAAAATCCAGATTAATCATAAACCAACTTCATTTGCTCTAGCAAAAAAACAAAGAGTATTTTTTCTGCATCCATTTTAACAAAAAAAAAAAAATGCTCTGCAGTTGTTCTAAGTATTTAGGTGGATTTAAAGCAGTGGTTTACAGACATTCAGTTAAAAAAGAAAAAAAAAATAATTAAAAAGTCCTTCCAGTAACAAATCTAATCTGGGTACAAAATATTAGTGCTATCCAAAGTTGTTAGACAGATTAGACTGGACCAGTCTCAAACAGGGGTTCTGTTGTTTTGTTTAATAAAATTATTACTGACATGAGGAATAAACAGTCCTTCTTGTACTCAAAATAGTGAGATAACTTCTACCTTTTCTCCTACAGCAGCATATCCAGTTATTGTATTACAAGACACAATCATACATTTATGCAACTCTAAGTGCCATACAGAAAGGAGGTATTAGTCATGTAACCTTGTTCTACGCAAAGAATTGTTTTCTATTCTGGAAATACAGGTTTCACATGTACTTGAAACAGAAACAGCCAGAAATGAAGTGTTGAGTTTCACCTGGAATCTTCTGAGAACCTGAAATACAGCAAATTGGGCACTAGCGATAACATCTTTTCTAAGGCAGCTAGAAAATAACCTGATAAATACATGCCTTCAGTTAGACACACATACAATAACCTGCACACATTTACCAGGTCACTGCAGATAACTACCTACTATGTTCACTTGTTGTGCAAAAAGTCTAGTACAACAACTTATATACATAAAAAGTGTGTTAAGGATTACTTCATTATTCTTCAGCACATCAGGAAATAAACTTTCCTAGAAGTGCATTAGCATGTCTTACAGGTATATGTTATCTTCCTTGGTGATGTTTCTGTAATTTGGAGGGTAAATTAAATAATTAGACCCAAAGCTACAGTACAATAGTAGCTCACATAACTTCAAAATCCCAGTTGTGTTTTCTGTAGTCTTATCTAAACTCTGAAGCTGCAAGACCTGAATATTTTTGCAGTTTCACAAGCAGCAAAAAATTTCTTGTCTGAAAGCAATTCTTGTTTTTTCTGCTTCTCAAGAGTTGCAACTTCAGTCTTCAGTGCCCAATTTTGTTTCTATGATCCAGTCAAAAGAAAGGTACTTACGCAGAAAATCCAGATCACATCATTAAGAACACCACAAGGTCTGTAATAGGCATGCCTACATCAGCTTTCAAAACAAGCATCAGAAGTTTCCTTACATTAAGGCCCTAAATCTGAACTAGATTAGACGGGTACCCCTCTGAGGTCTGGCATATATCTACAGTTAGGTAACAGGACCAAGACCTGGGTAAGTGGCATAACCAACACCCATAGCATCCTAAGGGCAGTTCTGTCTTATTCTGATGATACAACACCTTTTCATGACTGGGAACCTATCCACACTACTAACAGGAGATAAAATTTAAATGATACTGAATTCATTATTCAGCTGAGCAGACAATCAGATCAGCACAACAAACTGGGTATCAAGAAATACTGCTATAGGAAATTTAGACGTGCTGGAAATATTCAAGATTGTCTAGTATAATATAATACGAAGCTTTTCGGTGTCACATTCAGGGCATTTTTAGTTGCCTACCCATATTCTTAAGCTACAAAAATATATGCATGATCTAAAAGTCTTCTACTACTCAGCTGCCATTGAAATCTGCTATGTAAGAAGTTCTTCCACCCCTCCCTTTCTTATTACTGTGCTAGCAAAACTAAATTTGAGCTAGCAGCATGACAACTGCAATAGTAATCACCTCCTGATCTTACCAGCTGTAGCAAGGCCTTTCAAATACAAGCAAAGAACAACAGGTTCTGCCCAAAACTCTCTAGATACTTCTTTTCTAACACAGTACAAATATGCTAAGAAAAGATCAGATTCTAAACAGGTTGTGATCAGAGAGTTGATGGGAACACATGCTGAGACACTGGTTCTTCTAAGGATTTTCCAAGCAACACAAACAACAGTCAGATCCTTCTAGGTTTTAAGCAGAACCTCCTGCTTAATTCTCCTCAGACCATCCCAGTTACCTCAATACGGTTCCAGGCAGGAATGGAGCCATCCATATCCCACGTGTCTTTGGCATAGGCTGCCTGCTCTTCTACAGCTGAATCTTCTCTTCTACATTTCCTCTCACCCCTCCACACCAGTCTCATTCTTTATCAGCAACAACGATGCGCTTCAGACCCCTCGTAATTTTTCAGGAAATAGTTTTCTTTTCTAGCTAGTCCAATACAGTTGAAGGGTTCTGAACATTAATCCAATAGCTCCACTTGACAGACAAATATCCAAGCTTTACAAACCTCAAGTTTGAACATTTGGTACACTAATGCTTCCCTCGCCTCAGCCATTATTACTACCTTCTAAGCCAAGGCTTGCCAAGGCCCTTAACAAATCTTGTTACAGAAAACCAAAGATATGGATAAGAATATCTTAAGCTGAACAACAGAAGTTACGAGTAAAACAAACTCCAGGTTCCCCTCAATCTTAAATTAAGCCATTAGTTGTTAGAAAAATAACTGCACTGGGATCCACAGAACAAAACCGTATTTTTTTTAAAGCCATCTTAATTACCCAAAGTCACACCCAACCATGCTAAGGCACTTTTTCAATTGGCAGGCAGGTAATAAGCTACATGCTAGGGCACTACAGTTTTGTCTATTGGTTTATATCCTATGTTTTATTCCCTGGCTCACACATCTCAAAACACGGAATACTACTTCCCTGTGAGCAATGGTGACGGCAGTACAGACAAGAGCATGAATCACAGAGCTGATGGGACCACGGACTCAGCAGGGGTCAAAAAGGTAGGCAGGAAAAGAAGAAAAGGAGTGAAGTACAGCGAGCAATACTGCATGAGCAGCTTCCCTACCCAGGGCGCTAGGGTCCTTTCCCTAGCGAAGGCACGGCTGTCACTCTTCAGCAGCAGCACCGGACTCGGGCAGC